GCCCACCACAGCAGATCACCCAGGCAGCTGAGCAGCACCATTGCAGCCACATCCTCCACCCGTGTGCTGCAGCATCATCTGCGCATGATGGGGCGCGAGGGCGGAGTTTTGTCCCTGCTGCCTGGCTGCCATGTCCTTGGCTGCACTGCTCGGCACAGGCTGCACCCGGGGACAACTCTCATTCGGAGGGGCTACTGGTGAGGAGGGGGCCGCAGGGGGAGGCAGGGCTGGGGCAACAGCACATGTGCCCACAGAGAGGGCTCTGAGTGCCACCTCTGGCACATGTGCCATAAGTTCACCACCACTGGTCTAGTGGTTAGGGCACCAAGCTAGAAACCAGGAGATTGTGGGCTTTAATCCCTCTTTAAGCATGAAAATTGGCTGGGTGATCTTGGGCTAGTCACTCTCCCTCAGCCGAACCCACCTCAAAGGATTGTTGTTATGTGGCAATAGGAAGAGGTGGGTATGATGGATACCTTCACCACATTGAATTATTTGTGAAAATAAGAAAATTATTATACAAATAAAAATATATATAAATAAAATATTAAACAAGCACTGGAAAGACCCGGATTCAAATTCATCCTGAATTTGGTCCAAAGTCATGGGTGACTTTGGACCAATAATTTTCTCAATTACATTACTGAGATGTTGTAGTAGGGAAAATGGGAGAGGGGCTGCATATTTATGCTGCACTGAGCTCCAGAATGAAAGGCAAGGTACAAATCCAACAAAGAAATAAGTAAGATCAAGCTGGGAACCTTCTTGCCAGCAGCAGGATAAACCCTGCATTTTCCACAGACAGGAAATATATAAGGTGGAGGCTGCACGGTACCATTTGTTTTCTCAGTGATCAATCTCTGCCAATAATTAAATGAAAGCTATCTACAAAAATTCAGGACAACGAAGCAGAAGAAAATAAAAGTCTTGCTTGAACTGAGTGGGAGAATAAAGATTACCACCTTTCCATAAGCACAATTAATACACCTCCCCCTGTGTCTAGTTTCCAACAGGAGCTTCAGAAGCAAATTCTGACCAATTATTCATAGCTTAGTAGTGCTGTAGAGTCTTCAGTTCAGTTCAGTTGCCAGTAATGCCCAAAAGTATGATGGAAGAAAATTTAATTCCTCAGATAACTGGACAATATCACCATAACTGCCACCTTTACCCTAGCATGTAAAATCTCCCTTGAATTAACCACAATTTCTGATTCTGATTACTTGGACATGTGGATGTTTCTTTGGAACTATAGGAAATTAGTTTATTTGTAGCTCAGGACTGAACTATGGGGCCCTTGGTGTTCTCTGAACTTGGTTGTTTTCTTGCAGGTTCTTTCATTACCCAACCAGATAACACCATCAATGCTGCAGGGGAGAGGGGTTGAAGATGTACCTAGTTGGGTAATGAAAACTCTACAATAAGACAACCAAGCTCAGAGAGCACCAAGGACCCCACAAATTAGTTTGCTTTTGTCTTTTTCTATACCTTTAAACTTTCTACTCTATCCTGATATTCCTGGTCATCCAATCATTAACAGGCTTAATCCTGCTTAGCCTTTACAAGATTAACCAAGTTTGGTTTGGATAATTTTATATCCTTCCAATGTTTGAAGATGTATTGACCTGTATTGACAATATTTTCATGCTGTCTTCCATCTTATGACTCTGAGAGGATACATAAAATGCAAAAAGTCCTAATGTATTAGAAAACAAAATACTGCAGTAGCATCAGTTATAGCAATAAAAAGCAGAAATTTCATAAGATAGCCCACCAGAGTCTTTTCTTCTATACTAATCTGTTTGTAGAAATGGCTTCATCTTTAAGAATGAATAGCTGATATAAGAGGACTATTGAGATCACAGTAATGTTCAGTGTACCAAGGGATATTCTAGTTTAAATCAATTTTAAATTCCCTGTTAGTAGAATGAACCTACAATCACTTCCTGAAACTCAGAATCTGTGTTGAACTGGAAACATATGCTGCATATTGTGGCATTCAATATTAGTTTATTGGTCCTTATCCAGTCAATAATAAATCCATACTCTGTTTCACATGATTGACACATATAGAAAAAAATAATTTGCAGATGACACCAAGCTGGCAGGAATAGCCAACACTCCAGAAGATAGGCTTAAGATACAGGAGGATCTGGACAGACTTGAACACTGGGTGCTATCTAACAAAATGAAATTCAATGGTGAAAAAACTAAGGTTCTAAATTTAGGCAGGAAAAATCAAATGTACAGGTATAGTATAGGTGGTACCTTGCTCAATAGTAGTAGTAACTGTGAGAGGGTCTTGGAGTCCTAGTGGACAATCACTTAAATATGAGCCAGCAGGGTGTTGCAGCTGCCAAAAAAGCCAACTCAGTGCTAGGCTGCATTAACAGAGGGATAGAATCAAGATCATGTGAAGTGTTAATACACTTTACAATGTCTTGGTAAGGCCACACTTGGAATACTGCATCCAGTGTTGGTCACCACGATATAGAAAAGATGTTTAGACTCTAGAAAGAGTACAGAGAAGGGCAACAAAGATGATCAGGGGACTGGAGGCTAAAACATATAAGGAACGGTTTCTGGAATTGGGTATGTCTAGTTTAATGAAGAGAAGGCTGATTGGATGGGCAGAATTTGTATGGAAAAGGTGGTATCATGGATCCCCAAGTCCTAAGACCACACGTGTTAACATTTGGAAACATACTGGCAAGCAGTGCAGTTTCCACAGCGTTGGTATAACATGGAAGTAGTATGCCTGGCTACAAAGAACATGTATTGCTACATGCTGGACCAGCTCAAGTTTCCCAGTGGTTCCCAACAGTGATTTAGAACCATCAAGAACCTGGCTTGAGTCCTCTTAATTGGTTCCTGCTTCCTGCAGAGAGTGGTTATCCCAATTAACTCTACAGTCACGAGAAAAAGATCTGTGCATTAAAAGAGATTGATGGAGATGTTCCCAAAACCAATCCTATCTCATCTGCTGCAAGAGTAGTGCGTAGTCAGCAGTGTCATCAGGCCAACAATAAACCCATCCTGAATACATTTCCTGACAGTGAGAACAATTGATCAGTGGAATGGTTTGCTTCCAGGAGTTGTGGGTGCTCCATCACTCTTTTCAAGAAGAGATTGGACAACTGTTTGTCTCAAATGTAAGGATTTCTTGCTTGAACAGGAGGCTTCCAAAATCCCTTCCAACTCTGTTATTCTACATTCCATGTTTTATGAGATAGACTATAATACGGTAAGAGAATCTTAAAAGCCTGAGTGTGTTTTACAGATAGTCCTCAACTTACAACAGTTTATTTAGTGATTATTCAGAGTTACAACGGCACTGAAAAAAGTGACTTGACCGCTTTTCACAGTTATGACCATTGCAACATCCCTATGGTCACATGATCAAAAGTTGGTTGCTAGGCAACAGGCATGTATTTATGATGGTTGCAGAGTCCTGAGGTCATGTGATCACCTTTTGAGACCTTCTGACAAACAAAGTCAATGGGGAAGCCAGATTTACTTAACAACCATGTCACCAACTTAGCAACTGCAGTGATTCACTTCTCAGCTGTAGCAAGAAAGGTTGTAAAATGGGGCAAAACTCACTTAACAACTGTCTTGCTTAGCAACATAAATTTTGAGCTCAGTTGTGATCAACCTGTAAATATAGTCCTTGCTTAACTATGGTAATTGGGATTGGAAGTGAGAACAAACTGCTCTGGAAATTCTTGACACTGGAAATTCAAAATGGTTCATCTGGGAATAACTGAGAAAGCAAACAAGTTGTGTATTCTGTTGACAGAGTTCAATGGGGGGTAGCCTAAAGATCAAATAATTATATGCATTTTTAAAAAAGAATCCTTATTGTAAATATTAATTCTTTTAAGTACTCTTTGTGTTTCCTCACTATGTTTCTCTTACTTCTTCTTTCATCCCCCAATGTTTCCTAAATATGTAAGATCATATTCTTGGGTTGTTTCTTTTGTAGACTAAACAAATTATCCTGTGCTACATATTTGTGTGTGTCTATGTGTGTATCTATATCCTTCTGCCGTATTGCTTATTATTGTATATTTATTTCATTCCACGGCACTAGAAAAAGGAAAAAAAAATTAGATAGACACTTCAAGAGAATTAATTTTTATTTATGTCCCTGAAAGGGAACGGAAATCAGTCAAAACTGCTCAGCCATTTGAGATTTCTTTAGAATGGAAAACTCTGTGTCACAAGTCTTTTTTAAAATGTGTCACGAATATATGCATGTAGTTGGATGAAGGGCACATTCATATAATCCTTTTTGCTCCTTTTTAATCTTTTGTCTTATTGTGATGACATTCTGCTGCTTTGCAGTGGAGCCATTTCCCTCCCATCCAGGGTCCCTGAACTATCGGTAGATTTCATATTTTGGGGGGATGCCCTTCCAAACTCTTCTGTGAATTACAGCAGATCACACAACTGTCTGAAAGTGGAAATGAGATCCATTCTTCTCCTTGCCCAGAAGGAATAAATTTGGAATATTTTAAAATATGCCTTATAAGATCTTTTTTTTTGCCTGTCACAATAATGGATTTTTACCAATTTGCAATCACACTGGATTTAGGCAAAGAAGGACTATGCAGTCTTTATTCTTGCATCTGGCAGACAAACATGAAACTTTAATGTGAAATGCACAGAATTTAGTCGTCGTCGCTCTCTTCTTCCCCTCCCTCCACCTTGTTCTTCTGTCTCCTATAGAATCAGAAATGCAGCCTTCATCTTTCGAGCTGCTTCACACCAACTGGGGTGGAATTTTGCTTACGGACTTCAACGTCCCACAAAGAGAGATTTCATGAAAATAGCTCCCAGGTGGAGCCAGAGAAACTTTGATCAAAGCAGGTGAATGGCAACTGAATGAAGGCATTCTGTCAACATGTCCTATTTTTCCACTTGGCAAATGCTGTTTGAATTCATCAGAAAGTTTGACAGATTACTTTGCTCATCTCCCCACGTTTACACACATCCCTTACCTACAAAGAGATTCCACTCGGTATCCAGATCTGCTTGGTTTGCAAGGCAGCCCTTCATTACGTTGAGGCAATAGTTATTGCAAGGTTTCACAGTGGGCAGACCACGGCAATAAGGGCAGTACAGCATCTTCATTAACGCCCGGATGCATCCTGGGATGGGACTCACCTGCAGAGTTGAAAGGGAAAAAAAGTTGAAAGGTAAAACAAGCAGCCTCTGTTCCCTATCTGGATAAACTAAACAAACCCTGACAACCTTCATTTCTCTACTAGTACAGGTAGTCCTTGACTTACAAGCACGACTGAGCCCAAAATTTCTGTTGCTAAATGAGAAATTGGTTAAGTGAGTTTTGCCCCCTTTGTTCCACATTTGTTAAATGAATCACTGCAATTGTTAAGTTAGTTACACGGTTGTTAAGTGAATCCAGCTTCCCCACTGACTCTGCTTGTTCAGAAGCTCACAAAAGGGGGATCATGTGACCCCAGGACACTGCAACCGTCATAAATATGAGTCAGTTGCCACGCATCTGAATTTTGATCACATGACCATGGGGATACTGCAATGGTCATAAGTGTGAAAAATGGTCATAAGTCACTTCTTTTCAGTGTCATTGTAATTTCGAACGGTCACGAAATGAAATGTTGTAAGTCGAGGACTAACTGTATTACCACAACTGGATCGTCATGGCAAAAAACTTAATCTTTAATACTATTTTCTTGTGACACCAATGTTTTCCGACCATCAGCTAAAATAACACTGACCTTCCCCCACACCCACATGGTATCTATGATATTTAAAGCTTGGTATCAGGAGTCAAAAAATACTGTCCCCTTTTGTTGTTGTTATTATTAGATTTTTGTCCATCAGTGGTGGAATTCAACTTGCCATGCATCAGCTTTCTGCACCGAGAAGCAACAGATGTAGAGATGGTTAGCAGAAAGATGGTTAGTTATCTTCTTTCTTTGTCAAACAGACATACTTTGTTTGCTTATACATTACATGTGTCCTATAGTCTCTTCCTTACATTCTCAGTTCAATCTTCTTTTCTCCTCTATCCATAACATCCGCAGTTCAGATACTTATCTGATTCACTCTCTCTCTCCTTAAGAAGGAGAGAGCACACCGCAGGTTTTTAGCTGTCGTTACAATAGACCTAAGCGACTTAGCCTTTCCCGTCACCAGATTATTTCCTAAATAAAATTTATCTTCACTTTCCTTTCACACAAACACCAGCCTTGAGAAAACTTGCTTATAAAAGTTAACCTAACTCTACTGATTCTGTGTCCATACATTTTTTCTGCCGTATAAAATTATGCATTATTCAACCATATGGGCAGAAACAACTGTATTACTTGTATTTCTGTTTGCTATGCAGTTGGTAGATTGCCAATAAATTATGATTTCCCTCACTCCATCCCGATCCACAAATGTCTCAGAAATGCTGTCAATTTTGTTTGAAAGGTGGAAGATATGCTACTGTCCAGTAGCCCTAATTTAGGAGACTGCTGTTCTATCCCAGCCTATTGCCGTCCTTGTTAAAGGCACAAGGACCAAACCCCTGTTGATAAAATAGGCTGGAGACTTTAAAACAAAACAAACCCCTTTTAATATGGGTGACAAACCTGTCAAATAGTCCAAAACACAAACAACAAAACTCAAGTCCAAAGGAAGAAAATAGTCCACAGGAAACATGATGCAAACAGAAGAGTAGTCACAAGCAAGACGAACAGACCAGGATTCCAAGAAGCACTTTGCAAACGGTTGCCTTCAGCAACCAGCACCGCCCACACCTCCTCTTATTATACAGCAGTCCCAAGGCATTGCCTCTCATTGCCCTCTCCTTTTACTCTGGAGTTGCTGTATTGACTGCTGGTGATTTACTCTCACTAATTGACGACGTGTGCAAGCATCAATTAGCAAGTCCATCGGGTGTGAGTCCTCCGAGTCTGACTCATTCTCCTCACACAGCTGAGCTTCATCAGGAACACGACTGAAGGGCCCAGGCTCTGCATCAAACTGTGAGTCCTGTAATTCATCAGAGCCTCCCTCTGCCCCTAATGGCCCTACAAATGCCTCCTCCACCTCTTCCTCAGATTCCTCATACTCAGCTGTTGGGAGCACAGGCTTGGACGGAATCACAACAACTGCAGAGTGCAGTGTCCTCTTCACCTTTGACATTTTTGAATTAGTGTTATATACTGCATTATAATTATGTTGAGTTTTGTCATCTGATGCATGGCTTTGAAAAGGAAAAAGTGCAAATATATCATTGTTGAGCTGATTAAATGTTGGAAGCTCCATAAAGAAATCAGCCAGGATCCCTCTTCTCCAATATCAACTTATTTTGGTTCGTGTTCACTGGCCTACACAATCATCCCTTCAGCTCCATATGGCCTGTATGTTTCTTTGACAAATTATCTTAGAAGAAACCTGCAGACTGTTTTGCAAATGTTAGGGAAAAAACCACATGCCATTTGGCAAATAATGATCTTCTAGAGAAAAGAAAGAAAATGTTGCTATTTCCTCCTTCTGTTTAAATTACATTTGCTCACTGCTTGTCAAAATGTTAATTTTTCCTACTGACAATTGCTTATCTCAGTTTGTTATTTATAGTTTTGTTTTTGAATTTGCACAGCAACCTATTGCCTTTGGTTTTTCTTTCTTCCATGGAAAATAGCTAGGAAATTGCCTAGACAGCCATTCTGCTTTTAAACTTCAAACTTCACATAAATGTATATTTCAGTTCTGAATTTCCTGAGAAAACTCTGGCCTTCACAATTTTCAGCTGTTTTCACTTGCTGCCTCAGTTTAGTGGAGGTTATATTTTCTGCATTTTATTCCACCAAATGATTTTTTCAAAATAAGACTAATATGGGGGGGGGGCTCCAAACCTAAAGTACTTGATCTGTTTCTTGATTGTTGCAACCAGAGTTTGGCCACCCACAACACCCTCAAAAGAGGGGATAGCTTGACATAGTTCTCTAATAAACATAATAGCCATGTTTCCAAACCTGGTTAGTTGCATTTATGTTTTTATTTATACACTTGGAGAAACAAATAAGTTTAAATGTGTCACATGTGAAGCAATCACATTTTGGTTACAAAATGGTTACCTATACATTTTCCTCCCTTGCAGGACAATGAAACAAATAAACCAACTATTGGTGTTGACAGCACAATTGTCTTAATGACACGTTTCTATCAATACTCTGGTAACCAGCTATCTTGTTGTATTTTGTGGTTGCACAATGGTTAATACTTCATCTTCCATTTAGTATTTTAATTTATATTCTTCTTGATTCTTAGTGCCTGATACTTGTTTATCTTTTCAAACCTTATTTGCACATATTTTGAAAATAAATGCAAATAATAAAGGAGAAAGAACATTTTTTTCTGGTTACTTTTACTGACAGAAAAATGTCCAAAGAAAATGTCCCACTGGCTATGACATTTGCTGTTTGCTGTTGATATATGCTTTTACCCCAAGCTGTAAATTCTTCTCTGGGATTTATTTTATTCACTACTGCAAGGAGAAATGGTCATCACAAATTGACAAAGAGTTTTCTCCACACACATACCAAATTACTGTCGCTCCCTTTCTTTTTTTAATGATATAAACTATTGCATTTATAAGTCTTGATGTTCCTCTTAGCAACATAACTTGTTCGATCCATGTGTATTATGCCCAGAATACAGGTACTTCTTTAAGTGTTCATCTAATATTGTAGTAAACATTTTATAATTGACAGTAATAAGGAGATTGGTCTATGGGATCTGGTCTCTTCAGATTATTTACTTCTGATGAAAACAAAGGGTTGATGAATTCTCAGGATATAAAAACATATTTAAAATTAGAAGGGAGAAAAAAATTAAAATGTTCACTATTGGAATTAATTGCAACTATTAAAATAAATATAAAATTTTACACACACACACACACACACACACACACACACAGAGCGTATATATAAATACAATTTTAAATATCACTGATGTTAATCCAGGAAAAAATGGCAAGACTGGCAAAATTAGTTAACAAATGCATTTGGAAAGATAAAAAATCCAGAGTAAAATATAGAAAGATATCCTGATTCAAAAGAAAGAGGCAAACTCACAAATTTTAAACTATATTACCATGTAAGCTATTTGACATGGATAGTCAAATGGATAAAATCCCTGAATAATAGAATGTCAATATTAGAAGGTCCCGGTTTAGTCAATAGATTTTATAGTTTTTATCTGGTATCAGGGCACAAAAGAAGATTAGAAAACTTCAAAGGACATATAAGATAGAGCATGATAAAAATAAGGAAATCCACAAAAGCAATAATATAACCAGAAACCTTGCCTTTAGCTTCACTCTCAAGTTTCTTTTATTCTTGAGTCAATTATTTTAAGAAAATATAATTACATATGATGCATTCAGACTCTAAAAACAAACTAAGGGCACAGCAAAAATTATTTGGCAAAAGCCAAATATTTACTTTGGCTGATATATTTATTGATGGACAAATAGAAAGTTACCTCAGGAAAAAAGGAGGGTTTTTAAGACAAATGATTGGATTTGAAACACTTATGCAGAATCAAGGCCATCTATTAAGATATAAGTACAAATTACTATGACATAGGGACAAAACAAGTAAAAGGCTGTATAATAAATGCATGCAAAAGAAGCAATTACATTATAACAACGGCACTTACGGAAACTTTTAATAAAATTTACCCCAAACTATAATTTAAGTGAAAGTTGGTAGAAAATATCTTACAGAGGATACATAACTCCATCCACAATTGTTAAATAGATACATTATCCGTTTTTAGAAGCAGGCTATATTTATTTGTGGAGGGTGGTGTTTTTTTTAAGGAGGATTCACAAACTCCACAAACAAATGATAAAATATAAAGGAGTCCCTGTGGATTTTACTCCACTAGTCATTGCCAATTATAGGGGGCGGGGCTCACCTCCATTTCAAGGCCATTTGAGCTAGTGCTGTCCGAAGACATTTCCGCAGTCATGTGGCCAGCATGATGTCACAGAACACTGTTACCTTCCCACCAAAGTGGTACCTATTTATCTACTTGCATTTGCAAGCAGCTTTTGAACTGCTAGGTAGGCAGGAACTGGGGCAAGGACGAGAGTGCACCCTGTTAGATTTTGAATCTGAACT